ACTTAAGTGACCCAGGATGTGCCTAACACTTGGTAGTTTTCTAGGTGAATGAATTGGACCTGCCCACAGGTGCTACTTGTTTTTCATCATAAATGATCTGGTTACTGCCATGGAGAAGATGGGAATCTTGGACTTATGAAGCAGATGAATTCCTCATTTTATAGCTGGGATGGAGATACTGATGTGGAGAGGTTTAGGTCAGTAGGCCACTGTAAACCCTCAACCCCAGTGAGATTTTGTGTTTTCATTGTGGGCTTCCAAACATTTCCAGGACAGTGGTGATGGGGTGTTGCCTGCTACTACTGTGTTGCTAATCACGTTTTGAGTGTTCTGATACTTGGACTGCAATTTTATACAGTGAGAATCACATTATTCAAAGGCGCACAGGCATACACACATATGTAGTTGTGAGCACCCCATGCAAGAAACATGTGAACATGTTTGTGTCATTCTACTATGTCAGAATTTATTGAACAGTAAATTTACAAGGTGCAACACTTTCAAACCATCAGTTTGCCAGATAATGCTAACTACCTAGGCAGTCTGGCTGAGGTAAATATACGTTCTTTTATTTGAATCCTAATTTCTAATTCAAACTCATATTCCACAGCACATAGAACACATTCTGTATATCTATATTTAAGTATATGTATTTTTAAAGAATTAATACATGTTACAGACGCTAAAGCAGAGTAAGAGGTGCCCAAAGTGGGCTAACAGAAATACAAGTAGAGTCTGTATTGACAATAAAACCCAAGCCAGTGTAGAGAAAGAGCCGCTCCTGAGGTCAAGAGAGAGGCAAACTTTAATGTTGAATCCAGCCAAAGCAGGAAGGGAAAACTGGGTCAGAGCAGAAATGTCAGATCCATGTCCACATGGGTGAGAAGTGTTCAGGCAGTCTGCATCAACAGCTGGGGACAAGCCCAGCAAAGAGATGGACCCTGTTTTTTGAAATAATCTGTTAATCAAACTGCTTATGTAATATTTTATTATGCCTTTCTTAAGCACTGTATTGTGGAATTGTTTATTTCTTCCCTGTGCCTCCTCGGCCACGTTTAATCTTCTGACCGAAGTATTTCTTCTAGTATCTTCTGTAGGGTTGGCTTACTGGATGTTACTCTTTAAATCTGTTTCCATCTCCTTCACCTATGACAGTTTTGCTGGGTGTAGTAGTTGGGAGTGGAATCTGTGCTTTCAAAACTTTTAGGACATCAGTTCAATTCCTTCTGGCTGCCATGGTCTCCACAGAGAAACTTGCTGTGATTCTAATGGGCCTGCTATTGTCTGTGACTTCATTTTTCCTTCTTTTTGATTACAAAAGCCCCTTTGTTCTGTACATTTATTGTCTTGACTATTATATAATGTGAGTATTTCCTTCTTGGGTTCCATTAGTTGTTCAATATGACTCTTCAGTCTTCATTAGGTGCCTATGAATTGGTGGCTTGCTCAGTTTAAGTGGCTTTGCCATTATCATCATGGTGGGTGCATGGCAGCACTCATGACATTGGAGCAGTAGCTGAGACCTGTCATCTGCAGAGTAGGCTTTTGAAACTTCAAAGCCCACTCTCAGTGACACACTCCTTCCAAGGCCATACCTATTATAAAAGCACACTTAGTCCAATAAGGCCACACCTAATCCTTTCAAAGAGTTCCACTTTGGGGTGAATAAGCACTCAAGTACATGTGCCTATGGAAGCCATTCTTATTCAAACCACACACTTGTTTTGGGCTTATTCATGTTTGTGTATTTGCAATGGTACCTAGGAGACTGGTACTATGTCTTGATAGTAAAATCTTGTTTCTTTGTTTGAACTTCTATCTCCTAGTAACTGAATGTGTCAGGTAGTTACCAGCTGTATCAGACTTAAGGTTCAGTGTTGGGTGACTCAGTTGTTGATGTCTCAGTGGGGTTGCAGAACTACCTTGGCTTAGCTCAAGCTAAGTAAGGTTTCTAAGTCCAGATGCAGACCTTTTGTGGTTTGAGGACTGCAATCTTCAGGTGTTCTGGGAGTTTTCCTCAGATAATGGGTGCCGGTGGAATTGTTGGTACAAGTCTGAGATTTCCTACCTAAAATGGAGGGTTAGAGTATGGGGAGTCAGGTGCAGGACAGTGGTCCTTAGACACATTGCAAGAATGAGTCAAAAATTACTTTTTATGGTATTCCATTATTTTCTCCATTTACCAACACTGCAGTCAAGATTTGGGATGGTTTACCAATTCAGCAAATTGAAAAAGTCAAATTAAGTTGAATAAGTTGAAAATATGTATCCCTATTAACTTCATAGATCTTAAAGTACAGGTAATTTGTTGGTCACAGGATGGTTCTAGATAAGTTAGTTAAGACTGAAAAAGCCATCCTTTATGTGGGTGGCACTATTCCATGTGATGGACTCCTGAACTAATAAAAAGGAGAAATGGAAGTAAGCACAAGCATTCACCACTTCCTTTTCTTTATTAAGAATTTTGCACATGATTCAATTTTATTTACCCTCCCTCACCCAACTCTTCCCAGGTTCAACCTCCTTCACATCCTACTCATGACTGTTTCCTATCTCCACCTGTCTCCAAAGGACAACTTGTATGTGCGGCCTTTCAATGGAGTGTGGTCAACTTACTGGTGGCAACACTGAGAAAATTGACCCTTACCACAGCAGTTAGGAATTTCCCATAGGACCTTGGCTAGTGGTGGAACTTTGTGGCCAACTGCCCAGGGTATACAGCTATTTAGTTTGGTTTACTGTTGCAGTCTTAGGCATGGCATCAAATACCCTGACTTTATACGTGCAGCTGTTCTGTGTGTCCAGAACACATTGATTCATTGTATTTACACTCTTTCCATCCCTTCCTCCACAATGATACCTAAGCCTTTGGAAGAAGGGGTGGGGTATATATGTTCAATTTAGTATTAGAAATTATACAGTCAATTATTCACTGCATGTTGGCCATTGGGGTTCTGTGCTGACCATGATCTACTGTAACCAGAAGTTTTGTTGATGAGGGATGAAATGTCTTAATCTTTGGGCTTATGTATCAGTTATCAGCAGTTGGTTTAATACTATGTCCACTTAGCACAATAACAGTAGTTAATTCTCTCCTAGGGTCTATGAACTATCTAACTGTAAGTTATTGTTATGATAATGGATAATTGTTATGCTAAGAGGGGTTGAAAAGCCTGTGAGAGCCACAGTGATTAGATGTCTTCAGCAAAGCAGTATCTTCTAAAGATAACAAGGTCACTGAACAAATTCACTCCCAGCAGCTGTTACTACATGCACAACACCTATACAAGATAAATCTAGCCAAACTAGTATGGATCAGTGAGGGGCCTGTGAATTACTAAGCTTAGCTGTAGAGCTATTGGCAGTTGGTGGGTGCTGGGGAACACAGTATCAGCCTGAAAAGCTTCCCATACTTGTCACTTGTACTATACCTCTCCATATACAGGCTGCATTCAGTGAACTAAATATATTTTAGCAATGGACTTAGTTGGGAGAGAAAAGAGAAGGTAGTGATAGGAGAGAGATTTGCAGCAAAGGAATGGGAAGGGTGTATGGTTAAGACACTACATACATGAACAATGCTCTCAAAAGAAATAAAATGATCTTAAAAAAAAGAGCCATGGCTTTTGGGAATGTGCAAGCTTGACTAGTTTCAGTCAAGTCTGATCAGCAGTGATCAGTTCCAAGAATCTGGCTGTAATAAAGTTTACAGAGGGCCATCATTTTACTATGGAGAAAGAGTGAACCAAGAGAGAGGGGTACTCAAAAGTCTCTGGTTCTAAAAGCCACAGAAGCCTGCATCCGTGTAACCCTAGGGAACAGAAAGGAGTGCTCCCTGGAGATCAGACAGAGTGAGACTAACCTTGCATCTCCCACTTGTATTTGCCATGAATACTAAAGAGGAATTCTGCAGTGGCCTTCCAAACCTCCCTTTCTTTCCTTCATCATACATCTCCAATAATTAGTTCAGTTACTTGTTACTAATCATTATCAAACTTGAAAGCACAGAGGCCTGTGTTGGTGTAACTTCAGGGAACACTACGTGTGTTCAGTGCCCATGCAGACCAGAAGAGGGGGTCATATCCACTGCAACTGGTGTTATTGATAGTTGTGAGCAGACATATGGATGCTGAGAACCAAACATGGTTTCCTATATGAGAATCAATTTATTTTAACCAGTGAGCCATTTCTCCACACCTCAATAAAGGACTTTGTACTTGATGGGTTAGTAAGGACAAATGAACTCTCCTGTATCTCCTGCTAGTTCCTATGCTGTGGTTAAGATGCTTCTCAGGGTTCCTCTTTTCAAAGAGCGATGGTGGGTCTTCAGTGCAGTTTTTTCTAGTTGTGTTACTGTAATTAAGGAGTCAGCCTGTCAAGTTTCTCTTGTGAAACTGAATATAACTGTTCCCTAAGACAATGACAACGCGAGAAAACAGCTTTTAAAATGACCCGAGATAGAAATGCTACCTGTAGCCGGGCGTGGAGGCGCACACCTTTAATCCCAGCACTCGGGAGGCAGAGACAGGTGGATCTCTGTGAGTTTGAGGCCAGCCTGATCTACAGAGTGAGTTCCAGGACAGCCAGGGTTGTTACACAGGAAACCCTGTCTTGAAAAACCAAAAAAAAAGAAAAAGAAAAAAAGAAAATGCCACCTGTGATAGAATGAGGTGGCAAAGAGGTGCGTATCTATTCTCTCCATAAAGACTGACAATAGCTCAAACAACAAAGGAAAACAAGATTAAAGAAACTAATGCAAACCATGTTGCTATGGAAGTTTCAATATTGTCTCTTTTTAAGTAAACTCAATTTTTTATGCCTTTCTGGATATATGCAAATAAGAACTGAAATGACCATGATTAATACTTGAAGAAGTAGCTAGTAACCAAATCCATCCTATCTCCTGAATGAGTGTGTGTGGCTTGTGTCCCTGATTCAAAGTGGTTCTCGTTCCATGAAAACAGGGATTGTGTTGTTATACAAAAACCACAGTTCTCACCTGAAAGGGAATGAAACATTGTTTATTTTGGAGCCATATATGAATGACATGTTACCTATCTCTAGCCACAAATACCTAGTCACTACAAAGGGACCCAACAACAAATGATCCTAGGATTTCACCACAGCCCAAATTGATGAGAAAAGTGAATTTATTGGGTTTTCTTACAGACCAAAGGGGAAGAGTTACTAACAATTGGGGGATCCCAAGGGAGAAATCCGCCATAGAGATCATGGCTCAAGAATCGATTCAGGTTACCCAGGTACAGATGGATAACATGGTAACAATTTCAGGAAACATTTGTAGTTACAGAACAATCAATTGATGCACCCTGAAAACTTTGTCTAAAAGAACAGGTTTGTAGATTACAGCAAAGGGAAGTCTCTGCTATAGGACTCAGGTGTTCTTAGCTGAGGCTAGGGCTCTGATTCTCCACTCTAAAAGACGTTGTGACATTCTCTCCAGTATGAAGACTGATGATAATTAAGGTATAAAATTGAAAAGCCTTTCCATGTCCACTGCTGTCTGACTTTGATGTCTGCTGCTGTGATAAATGCTATGACTAAGACACAACTTAGGAGAGGAAAGGGTTTACTCCAGTTTAGGAATTAGAAAACCAGTTTAGCCAGGGCAAGAGCTCAAGGGAGAAATCTCGAGGCAGGAACTAAAGTATTCTGCTTACTGGCTTGCTCCCTCTGATTTCTGCTTGGCCAGAATTCTCATCCACCCAGGACCATCTGCCCAGGGGTGGGACTGGGCATTAATCAGCATCCAGGGTCCCATAGCCACATCTGTAAGCCAGTCAGATCCAGGCAACCACACAGCTGAGACTCCCTTAGAAAATGAAGAGGCATGAAGTTGAACAGTGAAGCTTACTGAATTCTTTGGTGTTGACTGAGATTTGAAATATTATTAAAGGGTTTGACACATTATTTATATGTGTAGTTTCCAGTATGAAGTCTCTGAGGATAATTAAAGTATGAAAAACAGCTAAAGGCCTTGCCACATTCTTTGTATTTCTGTGGTACTAATTCTTTCATGCTTATGCAGTGGCAAATTATAACTAAACACCTGCCTATATTCCGTATATTGTTTAGAGATTCTCCCAAGTGTGAATTCTCTGATGATCAGCAAGAGTTGACTGACAAATGAAACCTTCATAATATGCTCTACTGTGTGAGCACTCTTCAGTGCCAACACTTTTGTGTTAACTGATAAAGAGCCTTTAAAAGGCTTGTCAATGCATTCCCATTTGTAGTGTTTCTCCCCAGTATAACTTTTATGGAGGTTAGAAAGTGTTGAATTATTAGTAAAGCACTCGCCACATCCTTCACAAGGGTTTGGTTTCTCTCTGCGATGGATTCATTTGAGTTGGATAAGGTCTGAACGATAACCAAAGGCTTTGACACACCCCTCACACTTGCAGGGTCTCTCTTGAGAATGAACTCTGTGACTTTTTTCTAAGGATTGAAGACTAAAAATTCTCCAGCATTTTCCCATGGATAGTGTTTCTGAATAGAATGAACTACCTTGTGCTGGGTAAGGTTAAAAAGTCTAGCAGAAGCTTTTCCACATTTGTGGCCTTTCTCACCAGTATGATTTTTTGATGTTTAGAAAGTTCTAACTGAGTACAAAAGACTTTCCTACAGTCCTCACACTTGTGTGATTTCCTCCAGAACTAGTTAGTTGGTGTTGTTTAAGGTTTGGAGGATAGAAAACATTTTGCCACATTCCTTACACAGGTAAGATTTCTCTCCAGGAATTTGTGTCGAGGTAAGGATGGATAAGTTAAAAACCTTTCCACATCCTACACACCTGCAGAATGAATATTCAGGTGTGTAGCAAGTTCTAAGGGAGCACTAAAGACTTTGCCACACACTTCACACTTGTAGGAATTCTCTTGAGAATGAATTCTTTGATGTTCCTTTAGGCGAGAAGGATAATAAAACATCTTTCCACATTCCTCACACTTGTAGGGTTTCTCTCCAGAGTGAACCACCTTGTGCTGCGAAAGGTATGAATGAGTAGAAAAGGCCTTTCCACATTGCTCACACTTGTAGGGTTTCTCTCCAGTATGAATTCGCTGGTGTCTGGAACGTCCTGAGCGCGTGCAGAAGTCCTTACCGCATTCTTCACACCTGTATGGTTTCTTTCCAGAATGAATTGCTTGGTGTTCCCTAAGGATTGAAGGATAGTAAAAGGTCTTGCCACATTCCTC